TTAAGTATAGCAGTGTCTCTTAAATTTGCCTTATTAAAATCTCTAAAGGTTGGTTTCTACCACATATTTCCAACCACATTAACTGCAAAATGCATATATTCTGAAAGCAAGCAGCTGTGGATCAGTAATGAGGATAACATGAGAGGCTGAGACACAGATGTCAGTTGCCTTCAGTATCCACTCTCCCCATCTTCCCTGGCAACACAACCCCAATTTTATTCTGAGCAGCAGTGTGCCCACTTAAGTGACTACATTTCCGAAATCTTTTGCATCTAGACATGGCTAAGTCTTGGCCAATGAGATGTAAGCAGAAGTGTTGTGTGAGACTTCTAGGAAGACTGGTTTAAAGGAAGCTGCCTCAGCTGTGAGGTGCTTATTATGCTCTCTCCATTTTTCCCTTTCCTGATGCCTTGAATTCAGGCGCCTGGAGATCTACCACCACCTTGGACAATGTGGTGACCCTGAGGATGGAAACGACATAGTAAGAGGTAGCTGCCATTTCAGCTTTTGAGTGCCTCCTCCCAGACTTTACATACAAGAGAAATAAACTTCTATGTTACTCCACTGTTATTTGGTGTTTCCTGTAATACAAAACTAAACCAAATTCTAACTGATTCAGTAGCCTCAGTTACAAGACATTCTTCCAGGGCTACGGCATAGGCAGTCAGAGGAGAAAGTAAAGGGGATGATTACTCTTGAAAAACAAAATGTGCATCTGTTCATCTCCCACCTCCACATGCAGGTTTCATTTTTAAGTACAGAAGCTGTTTTAGAAGTCTGCTGTTGTTTGAATAAACAACAACAAAACTGTTATCCTATAAAAACATGACAATTACCTAAAAAATGTGAAATTATATCAAAATTTACCCTAAAAAACCACTTTCATCCTTAACTTACATTGAACATACAAGGTTTGGTTAATTGCAAAGTAGGGAGGAGGTACGTTTCCCCTCTTGGAAATCTTTCTAAGTATTTGTATTTAGAATAATGTATATTTGTTCTCTGGATAGAAAGCAATACACATATTGTTTCCTTCTAGCAGAAGTGAGAGCATCCAGAGATCCCTTTCAGAACTATGTTTCCGTAACTGTTAGTGTATATTCTATACGTATTTGAAAAAAGAAACACAAGATAACCCATCAATCAATTAATTCTTTTCATTTTAAACATAACTGTCACTTCATGGAGAACAGTAGGAATATTCTCTCCCTTCCTTTAACTATGGAAGACATTTGCATTAAAAGAGGAGAATCTTTATTTCCTTAGAGTTCATCTATGCCTGCTGGTTATTCCCCAGCTAAAGTCATAATCCTGTTTGCAACATCATAATCATTTACCCAGCAAACAATCAGGGTGTCACTAACAAAGAATTATGACTTTAGGTGGGGGATAAACTACAGGCACAGATGAACTCTGAGGAAATAAAGATTGTTTTCATGCAAATGTGGCTAGTAATAAATAACCAGGGATGAAAATTATGATGAACTAGAATATCCTATAAAAGCAGATTTCGGGAGGTATAAATAGTATGTGTGTAAAATTTCTCCTCTCTGGAAATATGATGCACAGGGTGTTTATAAAGTACCAGACCAATTTTAATATTTAAAAGCTCTGAATTTAAATATGATATAAGAAATCTATAAACATGGGGAACAATGTTTCAGAAAGATTTTTAATAAAGTAAATGTAGATATTTAGCTTTCAACATAAACACCAGCTTTATACATCATTCAGTCTAATTGTCCAACTCACTGAAAGCATTCTCTGCTTTTAATATGGAGTGATTTTTGTGGATTATTTATGTCAACTTGATCCTAAATTCACTAATTGACCCATCCATTAATTTGTCTATATATTTAATGATTGCAGCATAAAGTCATGAAAAGTAATGATAATAAGCATGACACAGCACATTCCAGTTCCCAAAGTATTTTTGCATTCATCACTGCATTTAATTCTCCTAACATTCCTTTGAGCTAAGTAAAGTCAGTATATTTTTCTCCATTTCACGATGAAGAAACACATTCAAATAAGTGATCTGCCAGCTAGTAAATAGTGTAAACTGATAATATGTGTTTCTCTCACTACATATATCATACTGTCTTCCCTTAGGAAAAGATGGCTTATTAGCTGGATCCTGCACATGTATTCATGTATTCATTCATTCATTACTAATGACCACCCAGTCTGAGCCAGGCATATGCTAGGGGCTAAGTGTACAGTGGTGAACAAAATAGGCATAACCCGTGCTCTACTGAAATTCACAGTCTAGTTGAGAGACATACTTTCAAAAACAAACAAATAAGTTAATAACTACAAGTGCTATAAAGTAAAAAGTAGGATGCCATGAGAAAGAATAAAGGAAAAGGGACAAAGAGAATTAATTTAGATAAAAATTAGACAAAGTATCATTGAGAGGTACATTTTGAGAACTTAGAGATGAGAAATAGCATGTGGCCAAAACCAAGATGAGATTAAGCCTTGTTCAAGATGTTTCCAACAACTGAATCATAGGGACAGAGAACTGTTTTTCCTGAATCAAGGCATTGTTGAAAATATGTGAGTGCCCTCATACAGAGATGGAGCCATTTTGTGACATTCATTTGTTGAAGAAAAGTTTTCTGTGCGTCTCATATATACGGCAGAGCAATAAGGGGTCTTATGGGTAGTGCGCCCCACTGGCCTGTGTTGTGTGACATACTCAGAGTGCACTAGATGTGAATGACTTCAACGAATATCAAACAATATATTAAAACTATTAAATATAATTTCATGTCAATTTGTTTCCATCATGTGCATGTCCAAAGCTGTAAAAATCATAGAATTTCATATGGCTATTACATCACTAGACAAGTCTGAGTATAAACTACTAAATACCAACATGCCTGTAAAATCCTGTGATCATTTGTCCAGTAGTTGCTAGAGGTACACTACTCACTCTAGTATTAGGAGTCCAGTTGTGATTTTTCTGGAACGTCTATAATTCTCTCAATTCCACAGTCAGAACTAAGTGATTGCTTTTAAAAGAGATTTTAAGCTTGAGCTTCAAAATGAGAGAACACATTGAAGCTGCTTCAGGCAAAGCCTCTAATCTTATTTAGTTTTTATTTCCTCATTAGACTAATGGCAAAGGAATTAAGGAACTTTTCTAAATGTGTGGTTATGGGAAGCAAATAAAGGCAGAAGGGGGTCTGCTCTGCTCTGCCACAGAGGATCCTCCTGTTTAATTTCCATGTCACATTGGAAGTCAAATGACAATGTCAATGGTACACTCTTCCCCTCAAATTCTGGCCAGAAATGCACTGATGACAACTAATTACCAGCTTAATTTTCATCTCAAAATTCTTATATTGTAACGGTAACGGCATCTTATAAAATCTCTTTCTGAGCTAGTTCATAAGAGCTCAAGCTATGACTGAATACACAGAAGCAGTAGCGGTCCTACTTCCTTAATGAGAAGAGGACAACACTTCCTCCCACTTTGAGAAAAACACTGGAGTTTTATAAATTGCACCCAGAGGAACAATTTTCCTCCTCATCAGAAGGGAAAAGAAAGATGTTGTCTTAGAGCAAAGGAGGGCAGGGAGAGTCAAGAAACTAAACCTGAGCAGACATGCTAGAAGGGAAAATAACATTTTTTCCTATCTTAACAGGTGAACAGGCAAGCCCCATTTTAACTACAGATACTAAAATTCAGAAAGCTAGCAGCCTCAGAACAAGACGCCAGAGGGTTTTTGACACAAATGATGAAGATTCAAGGGTGACTCACCGTGTCTCTGTGGGATTGTGAAGTGGCAGTGCTCAGAGGATGGTAAAAATGACTGAGAAATCACACTCAATATTAAGATATGTCTTTTGAAAAATTCTATTCTGATGATATGATTGGCTTTCCTGATTGCTTATTGTATTCTTATGTCAATCACTTTTGATAAAGGAGATTTTTATATTAAAAGACATAGAAACGGCTATCGGTCTTTTCATCATCATTTTCTACCCTGTCAGTAGACGATGTGTGTGATGCCACGGAAAAAGTATCAAAGATTAATTTACACTAAACAACCATCAGTCTTGTATAAGGAGTTACTACACAGAATTATGGAAAAGACAAAGGAGTTTGAACCCTGAGATATAACTATGCTGTGGTGATGGCATCACCAACATGCAAGGATGTTTTTCTGATAAGTCAACAAACTCCTTAAGGGGAAATTGTCCTAAAATGTCACAAAATGATATCTATAAAACTATCCCCCATGTCTTCTTCTGCTCTTTTTGAAGCCTTTGAGTTACAAGATCATGTAAAACCTTAAGGACCACCGATCCCAGGATCTACTACTACCCAAGACTAGCAAAACACTTCCATATGTGTTATTTTCTTTGGCTATCACAATAGTCCTTCAAAATGACTGTAGTAGTCAGGGTTCTCCAGAGAAAGAGAATCAATTGTGGGGGGCTAACAAATCCAAAATCTGTTGGGCAGGCCAGCAGGTTAGAGGCACAGGGAAGAGTTGATGTTGCAGTCTGAAGGTAGAGTTTCCTCTTCTCTTGAGTCCCTCAATCTTTTTTCTATTAAAGCCTTCAAACTGATTGGATGAGACCCTACCCACATTATGGAGGGTAATCAGCTTTACTCAAATTCTACTGACTTAAATGTTAATCTCATCTAAAAAATGTCTTTGCAGAAACATCTAGAATAATGTTTGACCAAATACCTGGGTACCATAGCCTACCCAAGTTGACACACAAAATTAACCATTATACTGACTCTCCCCCAAAAAAATGCTCTGGGAATCTTTTCTGTGTTTTACCAGAACAGAGAATGACAAGCATTTTGTCCACTTTATTTGGGGTCCTCTTTTTGTCTTCTAGCAGCAACTTTTGAAGCTACCAGAACTTCTATAAATGTCAAAAACACTAACAGAAAAAAAACTGTAATTACCGAAGTAAAAAATGGATTCCAGGCTCAATTAATGATACTGCCAAGTATGACTTTGCTGTCAAATGTACACTCTTATTGATGACATAATTATTCAAAATATAATTTAACAACTAAATATTACTTTAAATATAATCATGTTCTATCCTATGGTACACTCTATAGACACAGTTATAACTGTTATTTTTTAAAATTCACCAAATTTTACTAATATAATCTGCAATATAGATTAGTGTTTGACATACAATATATCATTTGGAAGAAAAAGCCCTTAAACTTATAATTTCAGTAACTTTTATTAGTCTGCAAACCTTGAAATATCAGAGACATTAATAATCAAAATCTCCTGGACAGGTAATCACTTGGTTACTTTTTTCGGTTGTTTGCTTTACTCTGGGTATACAATGGAAGCAGTAATGAGCAAATGATCATTAGGGGCTCTTGGACCACGGCAGTGTGATGACCTGTTGCTTGTCAAGAAAATCCTCTTGCTCCTCATCTGTGCTGCTCTCAGAAAGTGTCAGCAAAGACTCAATTTCGGTATCTTTTTCAGAAGAGCTGGAAATACATTAAAAGATCAATACACAATATACACGACCAGGTTTCAACTCTTCATTTATCTTCTGATCAATACTACATATGTTGAAGTCATTGGAGACAGGCAGATGTGAGCAGGCTGTCTCAGCCTGGGGCCATAATTCTCAATGTGCCCAATATACCAAGCCTCCTTTTAATGAAAAATTATCATCATTCTCCCTCTCCCAAGAAATGAAGCCACAGTGGAACCAAGGAGAGAAGATTTTATGGTCTCTGGTTGTGTCTTTCATTGATGATTCAGAAGGCACTTCAGAAACTTGCAGAGCCTCAGGGTCATCATTAAGAACATTCATCATTCCATTGGCTGTTTAATAGAATCCCAACGAATAGACTGCCAGATAAATCACCTCTTTCATGTACAGTAAATTAGGACGATGTGGATAGCCAGTCAAGATATGCCAAAACTGAAATTAATGACAGCAATTACTTATTTTATTTTGTTGCATTTTATTGTGGAGAGGAACGTTGGAAGCTCTAGCACATAGGTGTCTGAAGTTTGGGAAAAGAGCCAGAGTGGCGGAACAGAGAGGAGCCTGCAGAATTCAGGTGTTTTGGTCCAAGTTATCTAGATTTTCGGCCCATGTATGCCACTAAGTAACATAAAATACTTCACCCTGTGATGGATGTAACTGTTCTCTGGGTTATTTTTTAAGCCCAACACAGGCTAAATTAGCAGTTGCTTAAACTTGGGTCTGTGGATCAGTGTAGATCTAATTGTGATAAAAAATTTTCACTGGTCTAAGAAGAGAAGAGAAAATAAGGACAAAGTAATGACTTTTTCATGACATTTTCATGACATTTTTAATGTTAAAGAACTGTGCTTTATTCTGTTGGTATGTTCCCCTTATAGTTTTAGTATTAAATGTCCTTTCTTTTATGAACTGATGGTGAGAGGATGTGGAAGGTTTAGTTGCTTTGTTTTTAACAACTTTTTAAGGGAAAAAATAGCGACTTTATATTGATCCTTCTTTTTAAAAATGTAAGTGGTGTTAGAAATGCAAAAATCCAACAACCACAGCTAAATGGTTTCCTCTTTCAGAAAGACAGAGTAAGAGACTCTTGATTCCCCTTTATTGCAATATTAGACTTGAAACCACTCAAAGGAATTTACAATCCAATGGATTTTTATTTTACATTTATCTTAGTCCTTCTAGAAAGAACCCTCCTCCTCCTTTTTCAAGGAATGCCAGTATGTCAATTGTAGTCTGACATGGTAGACTACTTTTCTGAAGCATTTATTGGTATAACCTATGTTCCCTATAAACTGATCACCATCCCTAAATGTTCTCACCTTATGTGAGGAAAGAATGAAATGATACAAATTAAAATATGCTATTATTAACAATCTAGACTCAATTTTAAGAAAGCAACTTCTCAATATTCTATTCTGAAAACTTTATTCACATTGAGTAAGATTCCATTAACGCATATTTATGGAATTTATTAGGTTAATTAACGCAAGTAAGGAAACTGTCTTTCAATATAAGAAGAAATGCTGAAGGATTATTAAATTCCAAATGTCTTTGCATTTTTCTGACACACATTGTACAGCAGAGAATTATCTCTTCACATTAAAGTAACACCTTCATAAGCCTTTTACTAAACCCTGATAATAGGTCAGCAAAGGACCCAAACATTTTACAAAGAAGGGCCATAGAAAGTACACACATGAGGACAATATTTATTCATAGAGTAAAGATAATTGGTTGGGGCTTGTCAAAATTTTTACTATGCACTATCTTCACACAGAAGCTGCAGGCTTAACCTACCTCGGTTCCTCAGCTCCACAGGGGCTCCTTGCACGTGAGGTCTTAAGGAAATCCAGGGTAGTCTGACTTATATTCAGTGAATGATTGTTGAAGGCTGGTAACTCTTCTGTGGTTAGGTTGTAAAGTTTTTCTGAAGGATCTGAAATATTTTATTTCATGCATTGTCAACACATAAATTCAAGAAACAAATGCACAGCAAATGGTGCTGAAAGTTTATCCAGAGTAAACTATAAGCAGTATAAAGAGGGTGGGCACAGATTTTTAATCATCCCTCAATTTTCTAATGTTTATGGAGTGGGCAGAGTGTGAGGTAAATTTGATCTACAATTCCAAATTAGGGTATGGATATCAAGTCACTTTAATCATAGTGATTTTTTTTTTTAGTAAATTCCCCCAAATTCCCCAATTTTATTTTTTTCAGTTTAATTGAGATATAACTGACATGCAACATTGTGAAAATTTAAGGTGTACAATATGTTGATTTGATACACTTATATATTGCAAAATGATTACCACCATAGCATTAGCTAACACCTCTACCACACCACATAATTATCATTTCTTTTCTGTGGTGAGAACATTTAAGATCTACTCTCTTAGCAACTTTCAAGTATATAACAGAATATTATTAACTATAATCACCATGCTGTACGTAAGATTCCCAGAACTTATTCGTCTTATAACTGGACATTTGTCTTCTTTGAACAACGTCTTCCCTTCTCCCTGACCCCCCAGCCCCTGGTAACCACCATTCCAGTCTCTGTTTCTATGAGTTTGGCTTTCTTAGATTCCACATGTAAGTGATATTATACAGTATTTGTCTTTCTCTGTCTGACTCATTTCACCTAGCCATGTTCATCTTTAAATATACATTATACTTAGGAAAAGTGTCAAATGTCCTGAGAATTCAACAAATTCCAAAGAAAATCAAGTGATCCTTTTTAAAGTTAGAATATTGTGCAACTCCTCAACTTGCCTGAATGTTACACATTTTATCTCTTTTTGTCTTCTAAGAAATAAAAGCTTTACCCCCACACAGTCTGAGGCAAAGGTTAGTCTTAGCAGAGCTGCCCTTTCTTTTTCTGATTCCTTGCTTTGTTTGGGTAGATAATAATCATTTGTACCTGAAAGGGGAGAAGCCTTCCATCTCCCTTTTCATGAAGCTGGCCTATGAGTCAGCCTAGGTAAGGACAAATAGTGCAAGTTCAGTAAGCAAACGTACCAATAGTCCCAGACTTAGGATGGTTTGACTTGATGATTTTTCAACTTTATAATGGCATGAAACGGATACATATTCAGTAGAATCTGTACTTTTTTGAATTTTGATCTTTTCCTGAACTAGCGATATGCGATAGGATCCTCCCTTGTGATGCTGAGCAGCGAGCCACAGCTCCCAGTCAGCCCCACGATCACGAGGGTAAACAATTGATACACTTCCAACTGTTCTGTACCCAGACAACCATTCTGTTGCTCACTTTCAATACAGTATTCAATAAATTGTAAGACGTATTCAAGACTTTACTATAAAATAGACTGTGTCAGATGATTTTGCCCAACTGTAGGCAAAGGTTATGAGAACATTTAAGGTAGGCTAGGCTAAGCTATAATGTTCAGTAGGTTAGGTGTGTTAAATGCATTTTCAGTTTATGATATTTTCAACTTACAATGGGTTTATTGGAACGTAACCCCATCATAAGTCGAGGAAGATCTGCATAAATAAACATATCTTTATGTAAACTACCAATAAGTCACGTGTAGTAATAAATATGATTACTATACTAAAAAGGCCATAATGCCTTCTTTTTGTCATTGATAAAGTTGCATGAGCCATCTAACTTATACATAAGATTATGCTATGATGACTTTTTTTTTTTTCTTTTTGCAGAGGAAGATTCACCCTAAGGTAATATCTGTTGCCAATCTTCCTCCTTTTCTTCCTTTTTCCCCCTCAAAGACCCAGTACATAGTTGTGTATAGCTGTAAATTCTTCTAGTTCTCTGTAAGCTGCTGCCACAGCATGGCTACTGACAGACACGTGGTGTGGTTCTGCGCCAGGGAACCAAACCCAGGCCGCTGAAGCAGAGTGCGCTGAACTTGAACCGCTAGGCCTTCAGGGCTGGCTCATATGATGACTTTTACAACTGTTAAAATCACTACTCTTTCCTTCACTCTTATGAAAGTGCCAAGTAAATATCCTCCTGATTAGAAGGACCAAATGCCAAACTAAACTTATTATACCTTTACTAAAGAGGTTTTTTTTTTGAGTGGTTAGTATTAACTTGAAGTTTTTGAGCAAGCAGATTCCCCTACTGAAAGTAACTTAGATTATTTCTGCTGCAAGATAGACTTCGATACATTTACAACTAGAAGTGTTCTTAAAATTATTTATCCCAGTGACTTTCAAATTACAATACATGGAGAAATTTAGTGCTCAGAGATGAGGCTCCTATTCCCACCACCCCACCGGCTCCCACCACCCCAAGTTTAACTTGGTCTCTTTTAAATTTGGGAGTTTTACATAAGATTAATTTTGAGAAAAACAAAATTACTCAGCTAACATTTTTGTCCCATCCCCACTTGCTGGAGATTAGGAAATTGAGGGCTCACAGGAGATTGGTAATTTGTTGAACTTCACACAATCACATAGTAGAAGAACTGGAACTAGACCTGAGCTCTTTTAGCTCACCAATATCATTAATTACTATGCTCCAGAATCTAATTCTTTAGCTTTAGGCTACTATCTTCCCTCTTATTTTTCCATAAGGTAAAAGAAGACAGGTATGCAAAGTACCTTTACATGCTCCAGTAACAGCGAATGTTACCTGCCGGAAGGCAGTCAATTCAGGATTTGGAATGGGTAGAACTACAGTACTAAAACCCAATAGTGTGGGGCCGGCCTGGTGGCGTAGCGGTTAAGTGCATGTGCTCTGCTCCCGGCGGCCCGGGTTCTGATCCCAGGCGCGCACCGACGCACCGCTTGTCAGGCCATGCTGTGGCAGCGTCCCACATAAAGTAAAGGAAGATCGGCACAGATGTCAGCTCAGGGCCAGTCTTCTTTGGCAAAAAGAGGAGGATTGGCATGGATGTTAGCTCAGAGCTGATCTTCCTCACAAAAAAAAAGAAACAAAAAAACAATAGTGATGCTTAGATCTAAAGAATACCACCAGGAGAGGTATTCAATCTCTGTTAGCCTCTGAGTCCTAATTGACTGAGCACAAAGCTAATTCAGATTGTGCAAACAGAATGGGGTTATTTTTGTATAATTATTCATTCTCAAAATTGTATTTCAGAATACTTTGGGAAGTTAACAAGAGCAAAGGTGACATCACTTGATTTTCAAGGCAGAGAAAAATAAAACTGCTTACAAAACCCCTATTGCAGGGTAGTGTTAAACCTAAAAGGCCGATTGTACAAAAACCTAAGTCTCCTGTTTTTCTAATACAGGACCAGGGAAGACTGGATTGACACTTATATTGGAAATTTTACTTTCTAACTGTCAAGTCAGCTGATTATTGAGGAATGGATTGAAGTTAAACCTTTTCCATCCCTAGACTAAGAGTGTATATTCTCTGATCATTGAAGAATCTCTTAAATACAATAATAATGAATTAGATAAAGAGGGAAAATCGACTAAATATAAAGTTCTAAGGTATATTTCTAAAACTCAAGTCATTTAAAACACATAAATAAAACTTTATCCCACAGGGAAACAACACCCATATAAATAAAAGAAATGAAAGAAAGATGAAAGGAAGAACAAAGAAACAGGTTAAAGACTTGAAAGAATGGAAACAAAGAAGATAGGAGATTTCCCAAGAAGGAACCAAAAGCGAAAACAACAACAAAAACTTCTAAAGGACCATCTAGCAGAGCAACAAAGACAAATGACGTCCCAATGTTTAGGAGGCGTGAGAACCAGGACACTTGCCCTGTAACCTGTGAGCCCCATCCAGCCCTCAGCCTCTTGTTTTCCTTTCCCTCCATCTCTCTTCCCTTTACCCTCACTCTGCCCACATCTTCCCCCTTTTAAGTGGTCATGACATTGATTTGAAGAAAGGATTTCAAATTATGTAAGTGGCATTGTGGTATGGTGGTAAGACAAAGGAATATGGGGCAGACATTCCTGGGTGTGTGCCTGGGCTCTTCTGTGCACCCAGGGGAGACCAAGGGCAATTTCTGCATCGCTCAGAGCCTCAGTTACTGTATCTGCAAAGGGGAAATGTAGAATAGCACCTGCCCCACCTACCTCACAGAGTAGCTCTGAAGATCAGATGGAGCAACATTACATACGAAAACAAACAGTGCTTATTATTACTCACTGAGTGGTTTCATACTCCTTATATCAGAACTTTTTTTAATATGTTGACTTTCACTTGTATGTAGCACTCAATTTTTTGCCTGAAATTCAATGGCGCCCTACAGCAAAAAAAGATTGCCATTCTAGCCCATCTTAACCTGTCTGTCTTTACAAGAGTTATCTAGTTAATCTGCTAACTATAAATCCTGAATAGCCCTTTCACAGTTTAATATTTTACTTGATGGTCAACCTATGAACAGAGGCTCCAATCACTCAGGAAGCCACTGCCTCGCTATTTTACTTCATGGACAATATGGCTACGTCTGCTGGTACCAGGTAGATCTTTATTCTTTCTTAAGAAATTTTTCTTAAGAAAAAGTACTTGCCTCTCTTTAACTACCTGGCTCAGTTAACTACCGTGGGACCCATACATACATAAGATTGCGGTGAGAACTTAAGGACCACAAAGACACTTAAACCACAAATCAGAATGAGTTTGAAACAAATGAGTCATTTTTTTTTTTTTTTCTTTTTTGGTGAGGAGAACTAGCCCTGAGCCAACATCCGATGCCAATCTTCCTCTTTTTTGCTCAGGAAGATTGGCCCTGGGCTAACATCTGTGCCCATCTTCCTCCACTTTATATGGGACACTGCCACAGCATGGCTTAACAAGCGGTGCATCAGTGCACACCCGGGATCCAAACCTGAGAACCCCAGGCCGCTGGAGTGGAGTGCGCTCACTTAACCACTGCGCCACTGGACCTGCCCCACAAACGAGTCATTTTTAACTACTGGAATGCTGAATGCTTTAAAGTGCATCATTACTAATACTTTCTCATAAT